CAAGGTACAGCTAATACAAAATCTAACCCATTCAACTTAGGAAGTGTAGTAAACCATTACCAAATGTGCTCAATTTTTAACTATCTCCCATTAACAAACACCATTCCTTCAAACAGAAGGTCACATTAAACACTGTACCCATGGTGGGTACAAATATGGTCAGCTCATCCTTTTAAGCTCTGCTAAGTAATATAAGCCACATCCTCACTTGAACTCCTGCATCACAGCATACACACACAATTTAACGCATAGCTTTCTTTTCTGAGATGGCAAAGTTGATAATATTGCATGATCCTTACATGTTGTGCAGGCCAATGATCGAAATAAAGAAATATTTTATTTAATTCATAACTTTAGTACTTTAAAGCTACAAGTTAAACTTAAGATGACTTCAACAGAGGTATCCTACGATAATTTTGTGCATGTGTAATGCTGTTGGCATTTATCTTAAATAGCACCCAGCACACAAAATTAATAATGAGGAGGAGGCTGTTGTGTGTGTTTTACAGTATTGCATTAATTAATTTAACTAGTCAAAAGGTTAACTTTAGAGAGAGGGAGTTGATTTTCATGCCACAAACGTCTGGAAGCATGTTTTTTTCCTGTCTTTCAAAGAAACATGTGATGTTTCTGCTAATGCATTTAGTGATCTATTCTCCTTTAATATGCATTGAGATATGGGAAACACCCACCAACTTCGTCAACTTGCTTCTTCAGAGTCACCAGTAACAGTGTCTTTTTTAACCTATCTAATGCTTTAAAGAAACTGTGCCAAAAGTCTGCTCCAACACCCTGGGAAGGGAGGGAAGAAAGAGAGGAGCTAATCTATGACAACAATTCCCTAAAAGAATCATACCCAGTTGGTTACTTCACTAAGACCGCCATGGTTTTTGTCTCAGTCTATGAATCTTAGAGCATTTATTATTAACAAAGGAGAAGATCTCTCCAGGCAAGGAGGAAGTAGATTTATTGTTGGGTTTTTATCACAGATATTCTTCTTTCCTTAAAGTTCACCTAATGCTCCTTGAGTTAGAGTGGTGTATTGGTTGAAGACCTGTGGTAAGAACATTCAGACACAGGATCAAATCGTCCAGATGTTCATAGAGTGACTTTTGGCCAACTGCTCTTTCTCAGCCCAATTTACCTCACCATTTTGTTTGGTTATTTTTTGTTGTTGTTGTGGAAAAAAATACTGCACTGAAATTTCACGTTAAATAAAAATACTACACTACATTGCTTATGACCCTTGAAAAATCCTTCCCTCCAATTCTTCAACCTGCCTGTGTAAATTAAAAGGAAAACAACATAAACCATATAAGGTAATTTAACTTCTAAGCAGACAGGCAGAAATTTATGATTTGCCTTCAGCTTCCTAGTACCTTTCAGAGGGGAATGAGAGAACAATCCCAAAAGCATGAAACAGACTTTCCAAACGACAATTACTTTGAAATTAGTATGTTAATGTGGTAAACTTTCTGTATAATTTATCTCACTAAATGAAGGTCAGCAATTCAGTGCCTACAGTCACTTGCCAACCCATCAAAGAGACTGTGAGCTCAAGTCCCACTTTAGCCATGAAAGCTGGTTGGGTGATTTCAAGCCAGTCACTCTCTCTCAGCCCAACCTACCTCACAGAGATGTCATTGTGGGGAAATTAAGAGGCGGAAGGTGTGTTGGATATGTTTGCTGCCTTCAGTTATTTGTAAAAATAATAAAGGAGGGATACAAACATAATAAAATAAAATAAGCAAATAAATTTGGCCTCCATCCAATTGCTGATATCACATGATAAGACACACGTCTGACTGAGATCACAAGACTGCAAAAAGTGGATCATCTTTCCCAAAGCCAATCTTACAGCTATGATTAGTATACTTTTACTTTTTGCAGAAAACAGTTTTATTAAAAGGAATAGTGATCTGATATTTACATCTTCATAGTCAAATAAGCAAATAAAATAAAAACATCACAGCTACTATTGAGCCTTTTTCAAACAAGCAGTACACAGATTCCAGTTTCCTGCCCACTGTTCATTTCCCTCATGTGTAAGGTGAAAGGTGTAAAGTTGCCAAGCTAGTTCTACAGGCTGAAGGAACTATGATCGGTTCAAGTCATAACTGCATATTACTCCTTCACTCCACAATCTCACAGGTATATCACCTAACAAAGCAAAAATATATCATATAACATGTCTACAGATTACTGAAATGGAGAGAATGTCTAGGTGGCCCACTGATAGATCAGGTGTGCTTGGTGGCTTTGTGTGAGTCAAGTGTTAACACTAATGGAAAAACACCTTAATGTTAAATTGCCTCTGTATTTCTTAGGCTGAGACAGAGGCCACAGTAACTCATTTCCCTAGTCCTGTGCTCTAAAAAGAAGAAGAAGAAGAAGAAGAAGAAGGAGGAGGAGGAGGAGGAGGAGGAGGAGGAGGAGGAAGAAGAAGAAGAAGAAGAAGAAGAAGAAGAAGAAGAAGAAGAAGAAGAAGAAGAAGAAGAAGAAGAAGAAGAAGAAGAAGAAGAAGAAGAAGAAGAAGAAGAAGAAGAAATAGGCTCAAGTACCAAACAAACAGGTTTACAAAAATGTTCTTGGAGATCAAAGAGAAGTATACAAACAGGAACTTGAATCAGCGATTAACACAAAAACGCGTCCACAGATGCCCTAGGAAACAATAGCTTGCAATAAGACAACTGAGTTGAATGTTCTACAGAATACTTGTGATACCTGCCATTTTTAAGCAAATGGAGTATTGTCAATTTTCAACTTCACCACAAAACTGGACATGTCCAGCTGCTGGTGCATCCTTCACAATGCACCAGAGAAAGCTGTTCTCCATTGTTTACAGTATTCAGGAGGGGAAATTTGTATAAACTAAGGTTATGAAGTCTCCAATTTTCTCTGAGGACTCTTCATTTCAATGATTGTGCCCAGGAGGTTAGGAGTATACAGATATTCCAGGGTGTGACATTGCTTTACATATAATTAATACCCAATGTTTTTTTCTTCTTCTTCTTCTAGTACCAAAGGAATACAACATTTAAATGAGCTCAGGTGAGACTGTATGCATCAGGAAGACACATCTCAGAGGAGAAAACCTGATGCTATAAGCAGGCTGTTTCTGAAGCCTTATAATCTTCTGCAGAGCCCAGCAACGGCACTACAGAAATGACATTTAATGCCCCAAATATTCCTGACATAGTTTTCTCTCCTAACGTTTATGCTGCAGTAAACAACCTAATGTAGCAGACAGTTTTGCTTCACAATCAAAAGGACTGGGGAGTGGAAGCACCTCATTTGACCTGACTTCACAGAGGTTTCGGCAAAATACTTCTCTATTATGTGTGCACAGTTACTTACAAGTTTCCTTTAAAAAAAAAAAGCAGCTCTACAGAGAAATATAAATGCATCTCAACATCCATAGCTGTTCCAGTTAACAGCCAACAGAGAAGGCAATCCACAAATCAGCACCAGAACAGCTTTCAGCACTCACATGAATCTTGGTTGTATTTTCCAGTAAGATTATTCATAGTATGCAAATTACTGACAATCAATGCATCTGGTATAGTGTGTGCATATCTATATCCAATGTACAGAGGGAGGGGGTAAATTTATTGTAACTTAGAAATCTGTAGTGCCAAAGAACCTACTCATTAATCCTCAACTACTGGAAGATTATTAACCACGACTTCCTCTGAAGCCTTGCCTGGCTGGAAACTTCTCTCAGCCCCCTCCCTCCCTTTCCCTCTCTCTCTCTCACCCCCTCCCTCCCTCTCCCATAGACACTTGTTAGCAAGTAAGACATTGGCCATTTCTAAGCCAGAAATGCCCCAAGATGGCCCAAATTGACTAGTTTTTGCACTTTTCCCCATCTAGATGTGTAAGAAAATTCTCTGTCAAATAAATTATACTAGCTGCTACCAGAAACAAATGCAGGCCAAAAACTCTTGTTAACCAGGAGCTGACACTGGTGACAGGAGTGAAATAAGGGAGCCATTCATAAAGTTATTTCTATCAGTGAAACCAACATCAACAAAATTATCGTTCAGAGTTACAAGGATCAGGAAATGCTTTTTATAGTGACTCAGCAGGTTTAACAAAAGTAAAAAATAGCAGGAACTGGCAGATGGCTCATTATTGAGATTTTTTGGTTTATTTGACACAGGCCCTTGATGCATTTAGAAGGCAACAGAAACGATACTAAACGTAACTAACATCTGTCTTGGATCTTAAAAGACAGCCTCTAAATGTATTATTGGGCCCATATCAGAAAAGCCTTTTTACCAAGGAACCAACTGAATAGGAGGTGATGTTATCAATGAAAACCAATCTTAGCTCTGCTGCTCCAGCTTACCTGTCTTTAATTTGAATTATATTATACTGATAACATTTGGGATGGATGTCCCCATGGACCTAAAGCCTTGCTGAGAAGATCCATATAAATTTAACCATTCAACCACATGTAACTTACATGTTCAACTCAAAGTCCATAGTAACAGAATCCTAATTGATGGGTAACTACATTTTGCCTGACACTAAGATTGGAGCTTTTCTTGTGAGCAACATTTTAGAAACTAATGTGCATTGCACAGGTGGCTTGTTCACATGCTTGTGCATGTACACAAACGCACAGATATCTAAGGGTCACAGAAAGACTAATGGTAAGCATTAAAATACATCCTTCATTTTCGTCACTTTATTCTCAATATGCTTCAATTACTGGAGTGCTTCAACTTCTTTGGAAAACATACACATCCACTGGAAACTTTATACATCTGCATCATCCAACGTTTTGTTCATGCAGAAAAGCCCAAAGAAGAAACAAAAGTCAGGTTCTAGATTCACATTTGTAGATCAATACTTGAATACCAATCAATGCATACATGTTGAAAACATCAGAAAATCAAACAAATTACTTTCTATTTTTCAAAATACCCACAGGGATAAAAAGACAAAAGCTTAAATATTAATCCAACATCATTTCAATAAAAATGTATACTTACTGGTGGGAAGTCAAAATCTATCTGATTTGCTAAGTTTAATATATAATCAATTCGAAACTGGTTCTCTGCATTAGCTAGTTCCACTGGTGGTGCCAGGTTTCCCATCGCTGTTACTATTGTCTGTGGAGAAAATGATTTCATGCATATTACCAGAATGCTACAAGTTAAAGCAATTTAGTCAAAACAAGGAACAGCTGGCAGACTTACCTCTATAGCTTCTTTAATATTATTTTTAATATCTTGAATTTTCATTTTTTTCTCCCTGTAATCAAGAAACAAAAAAATTAAATGTCTAGATTGTAAAGGTTAAATTTGAAAGGGAAAACCAAGGTGAAGCCATTTTTAGCTACTGAAATAATATTCAATAAATCATAGTCAGTTTCTCATTCAAATTCACATGCAGCTCCAATCAGTTTTTGCAAGGGTTAATAAAATTGTATAGAACCCACAAACAGATTTTGCACCCTACCTTTTCAAACGTCTCCCCTCAATTCTCCAATTTTTGAAACTCTAAATAATTAAAAGTGTTGGGTCTAAAGCAGGGGTGGGGAATTATGGCCCTTTTATGACTTAAATTCTGAGAGTTGAAGTCCACGAGTCATAGTTCCCCACCTCTGGTCTAAAAGAATACTTACACTAATCTGATAGTCCAGAATTTCTTCTATCCACCATGGGGGTGGGGCTTAGTGAACGCCTCCAAAAATACAAACAATACTGTCCAGATGGCTTCAAGAAAACAAGGCTTTTGCTGAAAACTAGCATTTATTTTAAGTTTCCGACAAAAATGGCCCACAGTGAATAAAGGTTCACTTTAGAACTATGACCACCACAAAATCAAACTGGTCACATAGGTGACCCACTTTATGACTGTTACAACCTATAACTACAATGGGCAGACTCCATTATGGTTGCAAATTGAGGACTACATGCACAGCTATATTGGTAAAACAATCACAACAATAGAATGTAACATTTCCATTACAAAGTGATGATAAACAGCTGAATTCACATCTAAGTTAGAAATACTTATATAATTTTAGGACTGCATCAACGTTTCAGACAATATCTACTTTCTTGCAACCTCACAAATGGAGGAAAAATCAAGGAGATAGCCCATGTGTCCCATTTTTCAGCTAATTTTGGACAACCTGTTAAGGAAAATTTCATGTAGATGCACCCAGAATCTGGACTACACAGTACTTTAAAATGTTGCCAAAGGGGAAAGGTTGCATTATAGCAGCTATACTAGATTTCCAGAGAAACCTCGAACAGATATTTAGAAGTATGTTCTTTTGTTCAGTGTGGCCTGGGAAAGTCTCCTACCCTTCCATCTGCTTTTCATTTGAAATCAACATTTAAAATAAGAGAGAAATCTGCTGGGTTTAGCACACCATGAAATATCCAGTCACAGAATGCCCACTTAAAAAAGGGAAAAGAAAATAACCACTATTTCTATTTTTTTAACCAATGTTTACAAGGCCAAGTGGTATTACTGAGAGCCAGTTTGGTCTAGTGGTTAGGGCACCAGGCTATAAACCAGGAGCCTCTGAATTCTAGTCCCACCGTAGGCTGGAAAGTCAGCTAGGTGGACTTTGAGCCAATCACCCGGAGATGGTGAGTTCTAGTCCCAACTTAAGCATGAAAGCTGGCTGGGTGACGTCTGGTGGTTACTTTCTTTTAGCTCCCCTCATAGGTGTGTTTTTGTGGAAAAATAGGAGAAGGACAGAGTATTAAGTTTGTTCACCACCTCGAGTTATTTATAAAAATAATAAAAGTGGTATAAAAATAAATAAAATAAATAAAACTTAAAAAGCTGTTGTGCTAGATTTCTTTCTCATCAAGAACTTTTAATGGATTTTGAACAAGATACTTAAGTGATGGCAGCCATAAGAATAAGATGCCACAAGAATACTCATGTCCCTATTTCTACCTGGTTACCAAAGACCTATGGCAGTGATGGCGAACCTTTTAGAGACCGAGTGCCCAAACTGCAACCCCAAACCCACTTATTTATCGCAAAGTGCCAGGGCTGCATCAGCATTGTGGTGCCCTCGGGGGGGTGTGTGGGGCATGGCCCACTGGGTGGGCGTGGCTGCAGTGGTCACAGCAGACTGGGTGAGTGTGGCCGGGGCCAAGGCAGCGGGGGCAAGTCCCTCACCATCTCCGGGGTATCCCCGGGGGGACAACGCCACTTGCTCGCTCACTTCCTGCCCTGTCGCTTCCAAATGCCATGTGCTTGCTACTCTGGCGAACGCTGCTGGGGCAACGGCATGTGTGCCCACAAAGAGGGCTCTGAGTGTCGCCTCTAGCATGCATGCCATAGGTTCGCCATCACTGACCTATGGCAAAATCAGTAAATTGACTCTTTTTATAGCAATGAATATATAATCTTAATTTGTATTTTGTAATATTTCCATGACAATTGCATGCTACATCTCCTACAGAATGAGGTACGTCATGACTTTGACTAATAACTTACTTTCAAGTGCAATTTACTAACGGTTCAAGGACTTACAAAATACAATAAATGCCTTGCTTGACTGAAGTTCTCAGCATTAAAATCACTTGCTGACTTCAGCAGTATGCAAAAACAAAATTCTATTCCTAAAGATTGCTAGATTTTAAAAACATTTTTCTCAATAATAAAAGCTATTAGAGAAGCCACAAGGCCTGTACAATATATTTTTAAAAGCTGCCAACAATTAGAACATCCCTCTTCTATATTATTTTATGAGCTACTATAAAGATATATCTATCAGATACTGATTAATATTAGATATTTGCCTGCTTGTGAGAAAAAAGCTTTGTCAGTACTAGAATTCCAAATCTTACCCATTCGCTAACAGTTTTTTTAAAGTAAGTTAAAAAATTTTTTTTTTTAAATCTGTCCTTTGATCAGATAAATATAAGGGCTCTTTTAGAACAACAATGCAGACAGTTGTTCTTTCCCTTTCCTTGAAAGGGGATGAAGCAACATTAGCCAAAAAAAAAAAGAAGAAGAAGAAGAAGGGTGCCTAAGCTTTATTTTTTTATAATACTGGAAAGGGAGAATTGGAAGCTAATTCCAATTATTTCTATACAAAATTATGTCTATACAAAAATTTAAATGCAAATGAATCATTTTATTTTGATGAAGTCACTCATGCTGTAAAATTCAGTCCTACCAACCAAGTTCTAGGCCAGGGGTAGGCAACCTTGGCTCTTTTATGACTCGTGGACCAACTCCCAGAAATCCTGAGCCAGACATTCTGGCTCAGGAATTCTGGGAATTGAAGTCCACGAGTCATAAAAGAGCCAAGGTTGCCTACCCCTGGTCTAGACTAAAAGTTCTTAGAAGCTATTTATGACCAGGCAACAGTGATCAGATTCTTATTTTGACTTTCAGAGGAGCTTTTTCGGGAAGGTCACTGAAGCCCATTTGAGACACCAAAGGAGGGGGAAAAAACCTGTTACGGTTTACAGATTTTAATTTTAAAAAAAATACAGGTAAAAAGATTCAGGTGTTAATGCTGCCTTAAAATTCAAAAACTGGAGTTAATATGACAATTTATTTTCAGAGCTTTCTATCCATAAAAAATTCAAAATTCTCTAATATCTTACATTAAAGGTTTTGATATGCAATATTGGGCTATTATAACAAGCCCGCTGATACATATCATTTGCCTTTAATATTTTTCCAGTTTTTCCCAATAACATTGAACTGAGGTTCTAAACCAATTAACAATTGATCATGCATCTGATTAAGATGATAACCCAGAGAACCATCTGTAATTAACACCCATTAGCTCTCAAATTGAAAAAGTGCTAAATAGGAGTCTCACCTCTAATGGCCAAGTTATCTAAAGACCTGAGATATTGTAATTATTCAGTTCATCATGAATGTGTGTTCACATCTAAAAACAAGATTCTGCTATAGACATTACTTTAAAGAACTAACTGCATTGTATGTTTACATGTAAACATATATAAATGCACAGTACTTCCAAAGGCTGAGGATTTAATATTTTTAATTCTTCAATAATATACCAGGAGAGGAATCTATTAAAGAAAAGCAAATAAGCACATAATTAAACATTTACAACTAGAAATGTAAGATTTTTTTAAGAATGTGTAATAAAGTTATCTTAATACTGAAACGCCAATATTCCTAGCTTTAGAATATCCCTGTAATTATTCCTAGCTCTGAATTGTAGAGTTAACTAATTAATAGCATGATGTGGTTTAATTTTGGCATATCTTATTATACAAACCCAGCTATTTCCAGTTTTCTCAAAGATCATGGTTAAATCAACCATGGTTTATAGTGCAATTTATGAACCAAGCATGAAAGGTTTTTCTTTTTTGCAAAGTAAAGAAAGAACTGAAAAAGAGGGAAGACTAGATTGTCCTATACAAAGGTTCTTTGTAATCCAGAAATTGGTTTTTTTTTCAAGATCAGAATTAGATTACATGCAATTTTGGTCATTAAGTAATTTTAAATAACTTTTGAAGAAGTCTTGAGTACTATTTGAATGATCACATGGTAATGCAAGGGATGTATTATTAATCTGTGCAATATTCTCGTTTTTAAAATATTAAAAACTATAGCTAAAAAAAAGGAAAACCAAGTAAATGGGTCAAACATGACTAATTAAGGAATGAACCTGCATAGATTTGAAATGTTCTACTTAACTATATGTTACTATTGTTGACTAATCAGATTTTTACCACCTAAGAAAACTACCTTTTCAAGTATTTGAATTGCCTTGATTTAACATCAATCCATTCTAATCTACTCATACTAACCCCACTCAAGTCCGAAATTGAAATTTTAAGGCTGATTGTAAATAATAATAATAATAATAGCCATCGAAACTGCGCTATTATGGATGAAACATGTAACAATGGTATCCATTGTCATCGGGGTACTGGGAACTATGTCCAAAAACTTTGCAAAATACATCAAGAAACTGCAGCTCCCTTCAATAACTCCAGCAATGTTACAAAAAACTGCGCTACTCGGAACATCTTATTTTTTAAGGAGACACCTGGTTGACACCTAGGATGCTGGTAGCAACCCGTGTTAACCATCAGCGCCAGCCAATTTGATTGTTCAGTTGACTGAGGTTCATGTTTAATGAATAAAAGATAATAATAATAATGTCTATGGGATAACAATATGGTTGAGCTAAAATCAAGAGTGAAAATGTTCCTTACACTCAAAAAAACTGCCTCTTGCATTGTAGCTGGCCTTATGCAGAAATGATAATTTTACTCAACAGA